ATTCACACCTCATTCATTCAACAGGGCAATTGATTAAGAGTGGGGCTATAATATTATACCAAGGGCAATGCAAAGTTTCTAAATGAGGCTTTGATACAAAGTCCCATGAAAACAGAGGTCACACGTGGGTAGACCCACCACAAGGTTATATGAAGAGGCACAATGTAAAGTCATATGAAAATTATCAGAGATTTATCTACAGTTCCTCCAGCATGACGCTCTACCCCTCACTTTGGAACAGTGCAGCATGGGATCATTCAATGCAGCTGCCACATAGCACCGTCTGGACTGCTCCATCGCTACGGCTCTGTAACCTTCATGTGGACAGACCTGCACACTTCAGTTCATAGGTAGAATTGAGCATGGGTGAAACAATGAGCAAGTGCTTTGGGGGAGAAAACCCTGTTGTTAATAGCCCAAACGAAGGAGAGTAGTGACTGTCTAACACTTACTGGTTGCTCTGAGGTAGATATCTTTTCCTATTTGAGAGTCTCATTGTCTTTCTAAGTCTAGCCTTGAGCCTGGGCACAAAAGTGGAAGCACTTTTGCTTGGAAGCACTTTTCCTATACCTACTGCAAGTAAGCCGTGAAGGAACCAAAACTGCCTTCTAATTTATGATAGCTTTAAAATCCTACTCCCCATCACAAGGCAATAAGATGAGCCAGTGGCCCCCTGAATCTGGCAAGTTATCAGCAATTATTGCAGGGTTTAGTGTCTTTCTGCCATGAGTAGACATCTCTGCTCTCTTTCATGTCACTGTGATCTCAGTGTTCTTGTGGGGGTGGAAAAATAAAGCTATGAGATTTAATGCTGTAATTCTTGTTGTTCTCAACCACAGAGAGAGATGGGAAAGCACAAGGGTGATGTATACAGTTACCATCTCTTTACTGATCAGCCAAATAAATAAACTCCCTTAAACTTTAGGAAATGTATTTGGTCCAGGTAGTGAGGAGACTTGCACCTCCTTATCTGACACTAAAGGAACTAATAGTAATTCATGGATTCACTTTCTCTCTACTTGCCGCCCATGGAATCTTCTGTCATGAGGGGACTATTTCTGACATTTTACTGCCCAATGCTGCTTTCAGGACAAATATTTGCTAGCTAAAATTGATGTCAAGTATATGCTTGCTAACATGCCTCTGGAGACAGTGTTGTCTAGTTGTCAGAGCAATGAACTGGGAGTCAGGACACCTGGGTTCTATTCCCAACTCTTCCATTGATGTACTGTGTCCCCTTAGGCAAGTTGTTCAGTTGAAAATTTTCAGAAGTGCCCACTGGTATTAGGTGCCTAACTTGAGATATTTAGGATCTGATTTTCAGATGTACTTCCCTTTATTATGGGTGGTTAGCATTTGGAAAATCATGCCCTTGTCTCACACTGGGCATCTGAGAAAGCAAAGCACCTAACATTAGTGAGCACTTTTGAAAGGACTTCAGCCTCTTTGTGCCTCAGTTCTTCCATCAGTTAAATGAGAATACAGAACTTGAAGACTTATTGTGAACATTAATGCCTACTTTAGAAAGCTTTTTGATGTCTGTGATGTAAAGCCTTATGGGAATGCAAAGCAGAGGTAATGCAGGGGGCGGCGGGAGACGTGAGGTCACGTGCTCCCTCTCCCCCATATTTGCTGCTTGGCTTGTACTGAGTATGCTCACATGAACTGAGCATGCTCAGTTACATCTGCTGAAGCCACTGCTCTTACTCTGCCACACCACTATCAGGAGGTAAGGGTCGTCTCTAGTGCAAAGTAGTATTGCCATGTTATCTCACAGGGGTAATGAGTGCATATGGTAAAACAGAAAATATTCTGTATCAAAAACTGGCTCCCTTTTCTATTTGACTAGTGCTTGTTCTATGGAATATTTGGTAAATTGGTATCTGCCAAAAGAGGGTAATTTTGCTTACTCAAGGTGAGCTTTAATCTGCGGAGAGTTCATTAGCTCTGAACCCCTGGATAAGTCTGAGGTGTTATTGAAATAGGATTAAATGAAGGTAGTCGATGTACCAGATAATAATCAAACCTTTCATGTGGATTAAGTGCATATAAAATTAATATGTCAGAATAAATGGCTGAAGCAATAAAAATATCAAGCATTTATCCTGACACAAATAGCTTTGAATATACTGTATGGTTTATAAGAGCACAGCTGATGAATTTGTGCTTTCTATTTATACAGGAAACATAATCACTGTAAGCTTTGTTTAGGATGAGAATACAAATGGGGCCACTGACAGAGCTCTAATATAACCCAACCTGTCAAGTTGGGACCCTATTCCAGAGAGATCAGAGCCATGAACTTTGGATCTAAATCACACAGGAGACGTTTGAAGGGGTGAAGTCCCCAAGCGAATCTCTCTATTAGGAAAACTCTCAAATGTTTGATAAATCCTAATCTACTTCAGTCACCTGTAGATGTAGTGTTTTCCCTGCAAAATTTTCTATGGCATTGTCCACTCTGCATACATTTTTAAATGTCAAATCATTGCTTCAATTCAGTACAGATTCTCAGTCCACGGCATTTTACAAACTGCTTCCTCTATCTGGGGGTCTGAAAAGCACTGTTTTTTAAAAACTCTTGTTCCCTTTTTCTTCCTAGGTTCATTCCTGTTCCTCAATACATCAGAAAGCATGAGCCCCATCATCTTGAGCCCCTGGCTGAGGAGCAGTAGTGAGCAATGCACTATGCAGGTGTCTGTGTACAGGCATCTCCAACAAAGCGGGGACTATATTGCTCGGCTTCTCCCTGCTGACGAAAGTAGCAGTGAAATCCTGTTGGCCCCAAGTCAAGAGAAACATGGGTAAGTCCCCTTTCCAAACCAGAATATTGCTTTTGCTGGTTTTGATACTACATTATCAAAAGAACATTGTATTGTGGTACAAGGCCTCTGCACTTAAGTGGTACATATGTCACACCATGCTCCAAGGTGCATTTAAAAACTGTTAATGCACTTGGATCTACTCCCGTTTCAAAGAGGATTAAATTGCCTTCAGCATGATGCACAGGAACAGTTGGTCCACGGCAGGCTACTGCAGGGTAGATTCACGCCCCAGCTTGTGACATACTAAATGTTCCTGCAGACAAGCCCTATATTTTGTTTAGTAGAATCATTACACTGTTTGCGTCAATAAATGCATATTTATGCATATTATTCTTTTGTTCCATTCTTTGTTTCTATGGGGAACTTGCCAATGCAATATTACTGTCTTCCTTTTAAACAACATTCAGTTGTTACACAATTTTTTGTTGTCATGACCACAGCCTGAAATGTATCTATTTGTTGTCATGAATTATGCATAATTTTACCATGGCACAATTGTATCTAAGCTGATTAGCCTCTGTAGATGGCTCAGCCACCACTAGAGCAGGACAGACCACCACGCTCAGTGGTTGTGGGTCACACAAAGGCCTAGTGCGGGCTCCCTGTATGGGGTGAATTTTACCCATTGTACCCTAGTTCCAGATAATAGTATGCCTATGCAGAGCCACAAGGAGCTCGCTCACTCCTAGGTTCAAAGCCATCTGCACAATCTTTCTCGCATACCTATTCCCTTCTTTCCCCGTTCCCTCCACTACTGTGCTTAGACTGTGCAGAGAGCCTTCCGTAGATTTTCACTTTTGGTCCCTTAATTGTGTGCGTGTGCATGTGCAGGGCCAGCTCTAGGTTTTTTGCTGCCCCAAGCAATAAAAAATTTTGGCTCCCCCCTTCTCTCCCCCATAACTGCACCCTCCTGCCACCCCAGCCCTGGGTCACTGGTAACTCGCTCCCAGGGCGGGTCATTCAGCAGGAATTTTGGATGTGCACAGAACACAGACAGGATTGGTTCCCATATGGTTACTGAACTGCAGTAAAGTGGAACAATTTTCACCTTGTGTGATTGGAGGATATCTGGATGCATATTATAAGACTGTCCTACATAAATGAGGAAAAGTTGAGGTGCCTTTATTATTCTTTTGTTCCATTCTTTGTTTCTATGGGGAACTTGCCAATGCAATATTACTGTCTTCCTTTTAAACAAATAAAACTAAAACTAAAAAAAAAAAAAAGCAATGGCTGT